GAGGCCGAGGAGAACCCCGAGCGCCGGGCCTGTCGGGGCAACACCCCCGCCCCCTCGCCGGCGTGCCCCGGCAGGGACGGCCCTCCCCGGAGCGCCGTTGGCCCGGGGCGTTCTCTCTTCCTTTCCTTCGCCCTGCCGGCGCAGGCCCGGCCATGTACGCCGGGGACACTTCCCCCGTGCTCCCACACGCGCACACGTACGCAGGGATGCCCCCCCCCCCGTGTCTCTGTCACTTTCTCGCCCGGGCTTCGTCCCTCGTCCCCGGGGCCTGGTGAAGTCACTGTGCCCCCCCCCCCCCTCCGACGATGGGTTTAGATCAATGCTGCGCCAAGTCCGGCGGCCCGGCGTGGCCCATTCCCGGTGCTGGGGGGAGGCCCTCGCGCGTGAACCGCGTCGTCGCCGGTCTCCCCCCGGACCCGCGCGCCCGTGGCTCAGCCCCTCCCGGCCTGCACACAAAAAGCACCGAGCTGCGCAGGGTGTGTGCCGGCGCCCCGGCGCGCGTCCCAACCGGGCCCCCAGTGCCCGGCGCCCGAGGAACCCTGGCAGAAACGTCACCCCACGTTGGGCGCACACCCTGCGCAAAGCCCCGGGCGCGCTCCTCCCGCGAACGCCGGACTTCTCCCCGGTGTCCGGAGGTCCTGGCGGTGCGCGTCCATGGCGGCGAGCCTGGCGAACGTTTGGACCGAGTGAATGCACCAGCGTCAACAGGCCGAGCCACGTTCCGCCCCCCCCCCCCCCGCCCGGGGGGCTCTGCCCCTTCAGCAGCTGAGTCATGGAGGGACGAAGGCCCGGAGGGCGGTCAAGACCAGCCAGCTGGGGGCGGCGGGTCCGGAGAGCGGAGCATCATTAGCCGATCAGGGCCCCGCCCAGGGGGCAGATCCCCCTCCGAGCGCCGGGCATCCGTCCGCCGCCGGGCGATCGGCCGCTGCCGCCCCTCGCGCACATCGCATGTGCCCTGGACGCCGGGGCATCTAATTCTCTGCCGGGGTGGCGGGCCCCCGGGTCCGGCCCGCCTCTCGGGCCACATGAGGGGCCGATGAGTCAGGGCGCAAGCCGCGCCGGGCTGCCGCCACGCTCTCCCTGTCTCATGTCCTCGCCCGGTGTTTCGGCCGGCAGCCGCGCGGGCCCCGCCGCCCCCCCCCCCCGGGCTCGGCGGCCCGGACAATTTAGGTTGGCCCGGCTCCCCCAAGGGCGCTCCACCACTCCTGGTCCCCCCACAAGCAAGAGCGGCCGCCCCCTGAGCGGCGGAAATTTCCTCCCGTCCCTCCGACCTCCCGGGCCCCGCAGAGGCATTCGCTCGGGTTATTGCCCCCCCTCCCCCCCTCCCCCCCCACGCCACGCCCGCAGGCGATGGAACGGCCGGAGAGCGCGCGTGCTTGACAACTGGCGCACACTCCGGCGGCCGGGGGAGCCGGCTCCCCGGCCGGCAGGAGAAGCAGCCGCCCGGCGGAAGCCCCCCCCCCCCTGGCCGACTGATCGCCCCCGGTCAGCTCAGCCTCACCGGAACAGGCTGGCCCCGCAGAGGCCGGCACATGCCCAAGCCGCCGGCCGAACGCCGAGGGGGGGAGGGGGGCGGCGAGGGGCAGGGCTACACACGGCAGCCGCCCCGCCACGGAGCCCCCTTCCCATTTTGGCATGCCGGACAGGCGCGCGCCGCGTGCCCGCCGGCCCCCGCGTCCAGGCGGGTCGTCGAGGCCCGGGGCCGGAGGTCAATTTAGGTCAGTTAATCCCGGTGATCACGCGCCCGATGGGACGGGTCGTGATCCGCGCGGCTATTTGCCGCGCTGGCCGGTTACCGCCCGTCGGTCGGGCCTTTTTCGTCTGCGCCGCCGTATCCTTTTTTGCCACGGCGGAATGCCCGCCCCGCGCCAGCCACCCCTCCCTGGCGCACGTTCCTCCCCCGCGCCCCGCCGCGCCCCCGCCGGGGCTGTGAAACATGCTGGCCATCATGGCGCGGATGTGCGTGTGTGTGCACACGCACGCACGCACGCCCGCGCGCGCGCGCGCGGCTGCGCGCCTTCCGGCGGGAGCCAGGCACACCCGGACCAGATCCCGGTCCGAGTGCGTCGCGCCTGGGGCCCGGGCGGCGGCGGCCGGTTGGTCTCCAATTCGCGCGGCGGCGCCCGATCTCAGCGGAGGTCCCCCCCCCCCCCCACCCCCAGGACCACTGGTCCCCTGCGCCTGCGGCAACTCGCGGGATTAAGTGCCGTCCAGCACCATGCGGCCGGCGGTGGCCGGGGTTGCCGCCCAGCAGCCCCGGCTACCGGCCCGTGTTGCCCGCAATCAGGGCTGCCTGGATTGGCGCCCCCTTCCCGCGGACGAGTGGATCCAGCGGCCGACGGCCGACGGCCCGGGGCGTGCTTTGTGTGGGCTGGGGGG